TATATACGAATGAGAGTTTCATAATGTATCTGCAAAAGACCATGTACAGCATTATCTCCACAGCTAGCTAACGGTGTGTAGTGCACGTAGATGGATTCCAGAGCGAAGGTTTACACATAGCACCTTTTTGTTAAGACTTCATGCGTTGCTATGCATTAGCTATTGAACTGTGGAGGAAATTAACTGATCCAAAGAATTATCTCAGTCAATAGCTGATTGATGTCTCTGTAGCAGGTTGATTTGTTTAAGGGTTGGGGATATACCTCAGTTGCTGTTAGTACATGGAGCTGAATCCCAGCAAAACTGAATGCAGCATTAAGCTTTCAGGAGGAACTGTACCAGACAAACACAACTCAATCCATACAATAAAACATGTACCGGACTTCAGATGTGTCAGTGTATGCAAGTGCTGAAAACATTCATTTTTCATTCATGAAAATGGAAAAATTAGGTTTTCTTCAAGGTGCTTCAAATAATACCATGGTGCCAGTACCATGTCAATACAGTGTTTTTTTTTTTTTTTTTGGGATATGTTGATTTTAATCTATAAATTACAATCTTATAATTTGCTAGTGTACACTTGTACACACTCTGTTTCTATCTATCCATTTATCATCTATCTATTCATCTATCTATCAATACACTTTATTTTGGATATGTTGATTTATAATCTACAATTTATAAACATAATTTGCTAGTGTATATTTAAACACAAAACCTTCTTTATCTATCAATCTATGATCTATCTATATATCCATCTATCTATCTATACACTTTTTATGCTGGATATGTTGATTTATAATTTATAATCATATAATTTGCAAGTGTATACTTGAACACAAAGCCTTCTTTGTCTATCTGTCTATCTATTTATCTTTAGTATCTACCAATACACATTTTTATTTTGGATATGTTGATTTATAATCTATAAATTGTAATGATAATTTGCTAGTGTATACTTACAAAACCTTCTCTGTCTGTCTGTCTGTCTCTAATCTGTCTGTCTGTCTGTCTGTCTCTAATCTGTCTAATCTCCACACGTTGAAGAGGATGTGACGTATTTGTTGAGCCTCCACCCATAGTTCACCGCGCGCTTCAGCTGGTCAGCCATTTTCTGCTGTTACGTTAAGAGCGGAAGTCGTCGAGGAAGAACATCTTCATTTTCACGCTTTTGTCAATCATTAATACTTTAAAAATGAGTGATGTCGAGGAGCCACAATTCGTAGGAAGGGTAAGCATTATTTTTGTGTAAACTGTCCTGGCGTTTACCTCAAATATTCTCTCTTTCTCTTTGCGGTAATGCTCGATTAGTGAACAGCTAACGTTAACTGCCTCTTTCTTTTGTTTATTTACAATTTAACTGAGCAGATAGATCAGCTGATACATACTTAACGCTTAATAACTCGTTAAACATTTAATATTAAGTCACTTTAGATGTTTAGATTAGTCCATTACGATGCTGAATGTCAAATAAATGTAATTACGCTGCTGGGTTGGATATGGTAAGGATTTTCAGCAGCGTGTATTTTTATATAACGTTTTTAGGTTTTTTTTGTTTTTTTTTACCTGCAGATATTGATTAGGAAATTACTTTACAAGTGTTTTAATGTGTTTAAACAAGAGTTTGCATTCACACAATAGCAGCCTGAGTACTTTTGGTTTCTCTTTCCAACATTTCTGATCTTTCCTTACCCTCTCTCTCTTATACCATATGATTATGTAACCAAACAAACATCTGTATTTCAAAAGGAGTAGTGGAATTTGAATAGTTCACTTCATTTTCCCCCCTAAATTTCGCTTGATCTTAATTGCTCTGAATGTTCTTTTTTCATTAAGGTTATTGGTCGTGAAGGATTTGAAGAGTTAAGGCCAAGAATGTGGAAGAATATTCAAGATAAAAGAAGGCTTTTACAGAGAAAATGTTTACAGAGCAGACGGTTAAGTGGGAAGGGGAGAAAAGAACGGAAGATCGGTCAGATAGAAGCACGCTCGCGTTATGTGTCTAAAGCAGAAAAAGAAAAGAGGTTTCAGATTGGGGTGAAGAAATGAAAAGGAGAGAAAAATGAAAACTGAACAAATGAAGACCGAAGAATAAAATGCCTGAGAGAGAGGAATAGCGTATACTGAAAACAGAAGAATGAATGAGTCCGTAGGTTAAGTAAATGCAGAATTTGTGTTCCAAGTGTCTTTCTAATCTCTAATTGATTATCATTTGCATGTTTGTAGCTTTACTATGGTGATTCGGCTAAAGAACAAGCATCACAAGGACCTGTGATGACTTTGTAGCATTTTTAAATGTATCGATAATGTTATTAACATTTTTTTTTATTCCATGATATAATTTAAGTAATTCTAACACTTTCCTCAACAGCTGTAATAAAGTGAATGTTTGGATTTCTGCGATTATGAATGTGGTGTGAGTGTGTAGGTTTGCTTGCTTTGTGAACGTTCGTCTTGCAAATGTTGTAACACATTGCTGTGACGTTAGGAATCCCGCTCTCCATCCAAATCGGAGCGGGGCAGTCCTGTCCAGCCCAAGACGGAGAGCAGGTCTGGCTCTCCCAGCCCTTCCCGAGCATCCAAACGTTCTGAATCTCGATCCCGCTCCAAGTCCAGGTCAGTTCAAACATTAGCTGAATGGCATGAAGCTATTTCTTTCTCGATAGATAAACAGAAATGAACTTGCTTTTGCGTTTCTCACTGTCTGTTTTTGGTCCTTTCCAGGTCTCACTCTCGTCGCCATTCAAATCGCCGCCATAGCCGCTCTCGGTCTCACTCCGACCGGAAGAAGTCCCGTTCTCGCTCCTACAGCCCTGAATACCGACGCAAACGGAGCCAGAGCACATCACCCATGTCTAACCGCCGCAGACACACTGGCAGCAGGGTGAGTATCATGGGATAATAATAATATAATAATAATATGTTTAATTTATATAGCGCCTTTCCCAAGCTCAAGGATGCTCTACAAGGTACACCAAAGCAGCAAATACTGATTACAAAGAAACAATTTCATTGGACATTTGCCCAATTCAGTTACAAATAATGCAGTTGCATATAACACAGATTATGTAGAAAAGACAGAAATAGAAAAACAAAACAGACAAATACACAATGTAAATTAGTGATAGTGTTGATTAAACAAATAAGTTTTAAGCTTTGATTTGAATTCACTGAAAGAGGTGACTGTTCTGGATAGGGGTCAAAGTTCACAGGGACCAAAACTACTGCAGTTGCTGTTAAAAGTACAGTTCACTCAAAAATGAAATTGTCATTGTTCATTTACCATCATATCATTGCAGACCCATCTGATATTTATTTCTATTACATTTTTACATATTTTAATAAATGGCAGTATACAGCAGTGGTTCGTAGCCAAGTGGCTAAATGTTGTTCTTAAAATTTCTGCAGTCTCAAAAAAAAACAACTAATTATGTTTCATTAATTTAATATTTGTAGATGCTTCCAGTTACTGTTAATAAACAAAAAAGTTTGGGGGAAAAAAAGCTTTGTCATACCTGCAGCAGAAATATCTTACAGATGGGCCTTTTTCAGCGCTTTGCTCATTGTCTTCTGTCTTTCCGTTTGTATTTCCACAGCGTGAAGGTAAGGTCGTACAAATTTATAAATGAATCGCTTGTTTTAAAATCTTTCCGGTCTACATCTACATGACATCCGCTTCAAACATTAAAATAATAAAGGTTTGTAACAACATGATGGTGAGTGAATAATAACAGAAATATAATTTTTGGGTGAACTATCCCTTGAAATCACTTTAATAGAGTTATGTTGTACCATATTTTTTAATTAAAAGCTTTGGCATCTACATTCTCAGAAAAAAAGGGTTCAAAACTGTCACTGGGGCGGTACCTTTTCAAAATGTACCATTTAGGGGTAAATAAGGCACAAAGATGTACTTTTTTTTTTAGGGTACAGCCCCTGTGCCAGCTTTGTGTGTTGTTGTTTTTTTTTTTTTTTCTGAGAGTGTAGGCCAGTTTCTCTGATTTTAAAACCTACACTTAAAACGCAACACACTTTGCTTTAGATCAAGATTATGTTTTTTGTTTAGTTTTTTTAAAGTGATGTTTTAATTGCGAGTCTTAAATATGTGTTTCTGTTTTGTAGAAAATGCATGCAAACCCCCATCACAGCCTCACAGGGACGAGCATGACTGTCTTTAATAACCCCTTTCATTCCTTCTTATTACATCAACAGAGCTCATACAGCCATGACTCCAAAAAAGACTCGCACAATCATGGTGATGCCAGGGTATGTGGACCTTTCTTAACCTTTTAACAATAGCCACTAGACCAAACAAGTCTCAATGTTGCCTTTTAAAGGGGTTAAGAGGTCCATGTGGTGACTTTCGCATTTTAAGAATCGCTTTGTCTTCCTGCAGTGTCTGAAGCCCTTCAGACGGCTCATGCAATGGCCATATTCATACTGTGATGCCCTCAGAAATGTTTTGGTTGGATGGAAAGCTGTAATGGTTGTTTTTGCATTAAAATCTCTTTAACAGGGGTTATTAAATACTGTCACACAGTTACCCAGAGAAATTTCAGAGAATTAGGTAGTTATGTTGATTTTGCCACTCCACCAGAGAAAGCAATGAAGTATTTCCTGAAAAACGGTACATCCATCTTTTGGAGGGGTGTGACAATGAACACTGAGGAACCTAGACTGTTTATTACATACGAAAGGAATGTTGAGCTGCTTTCCATCACGTCCAGTAATTATTTAATGTCATTGCATGTAAATATTTTCTATGGTATAAAATTTGAAGGTTCACAACAGGAGATAAAGAAATAAATTACAACGTGTATGCTTTTTTCCCTAAATAAGTTCATGTTTCATCAAAGATATGATTATGTAAATGTAATGTTTATATATCAGTAATATTTGTGTAAAAATTGTAACAAATTGTTTCCGTGTAGTTCAGTGGTGTTGAATGCAGAATTTTAGTCTCACAGTCAGTGTTTTATTTGGTGATTGT